AGCTGTATAAGTAGCACTATTTATATTTTTCAATAATTTAATAATTAGTTTAATTAATCTCATTATGACTAATTAAACTAAAACATGTGCAAGATCTAGACGAATTAATTTAATGAATCTATAGATTTAACCAAAAGCACATGTAAGTTCATTTTAATCAATTTAACACCTCAACTTCCTTTTTTCAAATTATTTTTTTTGAGTTTTAAACTATAAATTATGATAACATTTTCCTACAATGTTTCTCGATTCAAGCATTGATATCATAGCTCATTTCTAATAAAGAACTTATCTCATATATTTATTATTATAATATTTTCAAAGATTTTGACTTCAAATATAATTTCAATTCAACTAATGTTTTTAGAAACTTCATAATAAGATTTCTATTATTAGATTACTTCTATGCATATTATAAATAATTATAATCAAATTTATTGCTTTTGTGATACAATTTAGTTTTCTATAATGCAACTTCCTTTAGATTTTAGTAATGACTTTAGATCTATACCTTAATAACTTACAAATTCTCCTTTCAAGATTAAAGCTCCTTAAGCTTCTAAATAGGGAATTTAGGAAATTAATAATATTGTAATATTAGAGGATGCTAAAGAATAGTGAAAAATAAATACCACTTTATGTAAGACCATTATTTGTAATTATTGATGGGGAAAATTAAGCTTTAATATTTTTATTACTATAATCTGAAGATAAGATTTGTTATCCTATCCTAACATCCCATAAGCGAATAGAGCTATCATCACTACCAGATGCTAATGTAGTTCCATCAGGAGAAAAACAGATTGAACAAACGGTTGATGAATGACCATTTAATTTGGTTTTTTATTATCCTGTCTTAACATCCCATAAACGGATAGAATAGTCTGAACTACCAGATGCTAATGTAGCACCATCAGGAGAGAAACAATATGATCGAAAAGCACTCAACTGACCATCTAATTTGAGTTTTTATTTTCCCGTTGTAACATCCCATAAACGGATCGACTCATCTCCACTACTAGATGTTAATGTAGTTCCATCAGGAGAGAAACAGACTGAATTAACTTCATTTTAATGACCATCTAATTTGGCTTTTTATTATCCTGTCTTAACATCCCATAAACGGATAGACCTATCTTTACTACCAGATGCTAATGTAGTACCATCAGGAGAGAAACAAACCGACATAACATAATGTGAATGACCTTCTAATTTGGTTTTTTATTATCCTGTCTTAACATCCCATAAACTGACAGAAAAATCACCACTAGCTAAACTACTTCCACCACCAATAAGACTTCCACCACTAGATGCTAATATAACTCCATCAGGAGAGAATTCAATAGATAGAATTCCATTTGAATGACCATTTAATTTGGCTTTTTATTATCCTGTCTTTACATCCCATAAACGGATAGACCTATCTTTACTACCAGATGCTAATGTAGTACCATCAGGAGATAAACAAACAGATATAATATAATGTGTATCACCATCTAATTTGGCTTTTTATTATCCGGTCTTAACATCCCATAAACTGATAGAGTTACCTGAATTACAAGAGGCTAATGTAGTACCATCAGGAGAGAAACAGATTAAATACATATCTGATGAATGACCATTTAATTTGGCTTTTTATTATCCTGTCTTAACATCCCATAGACGGATTGACTTATCTTCACTACCAGATGCTAATGTAGTACCATCAGGAGAGAAACAGATTTAATAAACAGTTGATGAATGACCGTCTAATTTGGATTATTCTGTCTTAACATCCCTCAAACAGACCAAACAATCTCCATCAGTATCAAGACTTCTTCCACCATATGCTAATATAGTACCATTAGGAGAGAAACAAACTGACATGATATAATGTGAATGACCATCTAATTTGGCTTTTTATTATCCTGTCTAAACATCCCACAAACAGACAGAATCTCCACCGCCAAAACTAAAACGACTACCCCCTCCAGATGCTAATGTAGTACCATCAGGAGAGAAACAGACTGATCGAACAATTTATTAAGGACAATTTAATTTTGCTTTTTATTATCCTGTCTTAACATCCCACAAACGGACAGAACAATCTTCTCCACCAATAAAACTACCGGATAAATGACTACCACTACCAGAGGCTAATGTAGCACCATTAGGAGAAAAACAGACTGATTGAACAGTTTATGAATGGCCATCTAATTTGGCTTTTAATTATCCTTTCTTAACATCCCACAAATGGATAGAACAATCTCCACCGTCAAAACAACCTCCGCCACCAGATGCTAATGTAGTTCCATCAGGAGAAAAACAGATTGAACACACAGTTGATGAATGACCATTTAATTTGGCTTTTTATTATCCTGTCTTAACATCCCATAGAAAGATAGAGCCAGATGCTAATGTAGCACCATCAGGAGAGAAACAGACTGAATCAACATCATAATTATGAACAAATAATTTAGATATTTATTTTCCTGTTTTAAGATTCCTTAAATACACATGTTTTCTGCTTATAAAAGCTAATGTAGTACTATTATGTGAGAAGCATACTGATTTTACCTTCCCCTCTCCTAAAATTATAGATTTTATTTTTCCTGTTCTTACATCACATATACGAATGGATTTATCCTCACTACAAGAAGCTAATAAGTTACCATCTGGAGAAAAGCAAACTTAATTGATCTATTTAGTATGACCATTTAATTAATTTAACTCATTTATTTATATGTTCCTCCATTTACAATTAAACAATTTGGCTCCATTCAAATTCATTCCACTAATAATGACATTGTCAAATTCTGATCCACTTAAGTTGCATCTTACCAAATTTGCTCCAAATAAGACAGTATTTCTAATTCTAATATCCTCAAAGCATTATTCCCTTAAATCAACTTTCATTTAAACAAGTA